TCTCTCTCTCTCTCTTCTCCTTCACTCTCCAAGTATCTACTCTCTCTCTCTCTCTTCTCCTTCACTGCTCCAAGTATCTACTCCCTCTCTCTCTCTTCTCCTTCACTGCTCCAAGTATCTACTCCCTCTCTCTCTCTTCTCCTTCACTGCTCCAAGTATCTACTCCCTCTCTCTCACACTCTCTTCTCAACCGGCCATTTCCATCTATACATATTTTGATGTTGTGATAGGGCGCGCGACTCCTGGCCAGGGAGGGGGTGTGTGGGGGGCCAATTCACGTATAGATGGGTATGTGGGCCATCAATTGGCCAGAGGAGTGTGTGGAGAGGAGGAACTGGCCAGGGTGGGTGGGTGGGGGGGGGGGGGGGTTTAAGAGAGGGGGGGGGGTTTAAGAGGGGGGGGGGCAGGCGGACCCAGGCTTATCTTAATATCATGGATGAATTCCCGGGAATTTAATTTTACCTGGCTGGCCTCTCAAGCAAAAGATTACATGAAAGCAAGTTTTTTCTTGTTTGGGAATATCTTTACTCAGGCGACGTTTGCCATTTACATAAACTCCTGTATTAATTATGCACATATTTTCGTGTTAGCCAGAAAATGGTAAAAATATTTTATAACTTCGTGTTGAGCAAAGCTTAAGATCCCCCCTCCCCCCCCAAAAAAAAAATGACGAAAACAAAACAAAAAATTATTAATATGCTTAAGAAGAGAAAAATTTTAATTGTTTGAAATGAAGAAAAATGACTCATTGTGACAACTTAGAAATATTTGCCTTGACCCTGCCCGGATCCAGGATCCCCCAAGCAGCTACCCATGCACCTACGAAACCTGTACATCTTTCAGCAATCATGGCGGCTTTGTTTACATTTATGAAACCGCTGATGAGCTCCAAAGCCCAACGAGGTTGTTATTTATAACAACATCCACCATGGCTTACAACCTTTCGAAGCTTGTAAACTGTTTAAACTGATTAAATGCCTCTTCTTGAGGCTATCTTGAGATGATTTCGGGGTTTAGCGTCCCCGCGGCCCGGTCCTCGACCAGGCTTCCTTTTTCTTACACACCCCTAGGAAGCAGCCTGTAGCAGCTGTCTAATTCCCAGGTACCTATTTACTGCTAGGTGACAGGAGCATCAGGGTGCAAGAAACATTTTGCCCATTTGTCTCCGCCTCCACCGGGGATAGAACCCGGACCCTCAGGACTACGAATCCGAATCGCTGTCCCACCCAAGACTTCTGGCCTTAATAACGTCAGAATTAGAGCAAGTTGGCTATCTCAACTTCCACCAGCTGCTCAGATTTACATTTATGTAAACGCACATTAATGACACTATGTAAAAAAAACATACTTCGAACACTCTTTATGTGGGACAGACGTAAATCTGTGTATTTATGTATGTAGGTTAGATTAGCATTTTAAAAGCACTACAATCACCTTGTGTGTGGTTGATTGTTCAATAAATCCCTGAACTATATGTTTAACACATCTCTCACCCTGTCCATGGAGGACAGAAGAAAATGTATATATGCTGGTTAGCATTGTAAATGTCTGGCCACGTCTGTGGTAGAAAAATAATAACCAAAATACTATTGCCATTACTAACAATGTTCACACAAATAATAATAATAATAATAATAATAATAATAATAATAATAATAATAATAATAATAATAATATAAATAATAAAGAACATGAAAAGCGTTTTTCACTGAGATCCTCCACCTCGGCGCTCACTTGGGGCTCTGTTTAGACAGGTGGACCCCTCTACATCGAATACATCGATGTAGAGAGAGAGAGAGAGAGAGAGAGAGAGAGAGAGAGAGAGAGAGAGAGAGAGAGAGAGAGAGAGAGCGAGAGAGAGAGAGAGAGAGGAGAGAGAGAGAGAGAGAGAGAGGAGAGAGAGAGAGAGAGAGAGAGAGAGAGAGAGAGAGAGAGAGGTGGAGATAGGGAGAAGGTAAGAGACAACTGCAGGAGAGAGGGGTTGGGTTTGCTGCCAATCAAGCCACTGTATCCCAGGAGTCCACGTTCCAGTGGGAAACAGACAGCCGGCAGAGTGGCGATTGTTATACTGTGACAGGCTTCCAGGTCCGTCCATTGGCTGGTGCCTGTTGTTTGGAACTGATGCCTCGGTTGTGCTCGCGACAGCTAGGACAGGGGAAGCACACTCCACCATACTCAAGAGCAAGAACGAGCATTTGAAGCACATTGAACAACAATACGCTATGTTTATCCCACACAGCCACTCAAGCTGTGCTTAGTCCTCCTTTATGTTATAGTCGGTGAGGAGTGAGAGTCACCTGGTGTGTTACAATGATGGTCATCCACCTTCAGCCATCCAACACCATCAACCATCCAACACCATCAACCAACGCCAATCATCAACATTGAAACGCGGGCTTACATGTGGTACCTCCCTGTCGACAAGACATTTGTGTGAAAACGGTCAATACAATGCATGACTGAACACAACTGAGCAATTATCAAAAGAAGGCACCGGGCCGGGGAGACTATGTGCTCAGTCCGTCCTGGTTTCCCAATGCCGGCTTGAACTTTAAGGCGCAATTCCTTCCAGTACTTCGCGTCTGACAATGGTTCAATCCTCCAGCTGCCGCAAATTGATGCGCCAGAATATTCTTCGGCAGAGACGTTCGCGGCGTCCAAGATCGGCATTGCGAGTCTGTTTGAAGACGGCAACTGATTTTGAAGCGCCGACATTTTCTCTGGGAGGATGACTGACAATGAGTCGTCTCGAGCGAGCCATCCATCATCACAAATGTCCCCGCCACCGACATCTCTTCCAAGTTCCGAAGAAAAGTTTTCATGCCAGTTTTTTTTATTTTGGACTCGCTCGGCACCAGTGAAGTCGGAAGCTGCCACAGAGCCTTGGCGAAGGGTGAGGTCTGACGGCCCTCGCTTCATGGTCTGCTGTTGCCAGACCTTGTAATTGCTGGCTAGGCGTGGGCCCGTAGCCCCAAGCACTGCAAAAGCCTATGAGGGTCGATCGCGTGCTAGAACCTTGCATATATGATCAAATGACGGCCTTGCAATTAGTACTATCAGTACCTACAGTAACATAGAGGACGGGGGGAAGAGGGACATAGAAGCTATTTTATCCAGAGCAGCACCCATAGATCTATATCACATTAGTATTATATCTCATAGATACAAGGCCCTTTCTCTGATCTTCCGTCTGAATGACGCAGAATGGGAACTTGGAATCTTTCAAATATACACAGATAAAATAATCAGTATAACTGTCTTGTACACTTTCTGTATAGCGAGGAGTGGAGGTTATGGAAGCTGTTGTGTGTGTGTGTGTTGTGGGGCCATGACTAGCACCAGTACCTAGCAGTGATTCAGTTTGTGTGCACTGCCACGATGGCCCTTCACTGTCACGATGGCCCTTCACTGTCACGATGGTCCTTCACTGTCACGATGGTCCTTCACTGTCACGATGGCCCTGTCACCATATTGACAGTATTGGGCAGCGCCACTCATCCAGTGAATGGACACACCGCCATAGTGACAGTATTGGGCAGCGCCACTCATCCAGTGAGTGGACACACCGCCATAGTGACAGTATTGGGCAGCGCCACTCATCCTGTGAGTGGACACATCGCCATAGTGACAGTATTGGCAGCGCCACTCATCTTGTGAGTGGACACACCGCCATAGTGACAGTATTGGGCAGCGCCACTCGTCCTGTGAGTGGACACACCGCCATAGTGACAGTATTGGGCAGCGCCACTCATCCTGTGAGTGGACACACCACCATAGCAGCATGTACAACACTCCCCAATAGGAAGAAAACCCGCTGGGTTGTTCATCCTGTCGCTTGTACCCAGACACAGCTGGGACTTGCCGAACTGTCTCAAATGAACAGCTTCTCTTACCAGAAGATTAACATTTGTCATGACAAGTGTTATCAGAAATTCGACATTTGAGTAATACGGGAAAGTAATACCAGGGCAGAAACTACAAACGCTAAGCAGGAGAAGCAACAGAGAAAATGTGAGAGACAATAAGCACACACACAAAGCCTCACAGCTAAAGCAACCAAGCTCCTCTGATAATTTAATTCACCTGGGGCCAGATTCATGAAGCAGTTACGGAAGCACTTACGAACGTGTACATCTTTCCTCAATCTTTGACGGCTTTGGTTACATTTATTAAGCACTTTACAAGCATGAAAACTTGCCAATCAACTGTTGTTATTGTTATAAACAGCCTCCTGGTGCTTCGGAGCTCATTAACTGTTTAATAATTGTAAACAAAGCCGCCAAAGATTGAGAAAAGATGTACAGGTTCGTAAGTGCTGGCGTAACTGCTTCGTGAATCTGGGCCCTGGGCACGAAGAAGCTCGAATCGCCGACCTCAAGCACGATAATACATTCAATAATAATATATACCTTTGTATACTTCTAAGAGGTATACCTTAAAATTACTTTAACAAACCTTGAGCATTGTCTCCAATCTCCTAATGAAGATTTATTGAGTTTAACTTTCCCGAAGACTACTGGAGTATGAAGAAGAGGCGAAGAAAAGACATGGAGAAGCAGAAGAGACTGAGGAGGGGGAATAAACAGGTAAAATAATAAGCACTCAAGAGTAAATAAAGCCAATGGGAAGAAGAACCGACGGACAAGTGGAAAACAGAGAAAACAAAAGGAGGCAGAGTGAAGAGTAAGAAATACAGATACAATTAGATTTAGATTTAGATTCTGTATTCAGGTAAAGGTACATACATTAAATATGAGTTACAAACATAATGTTGGATTTAAAGATAGTTTAGCTAGTATCTACAATACCTACAGCCACTAGTTCGCATAGCGTTTAGGGCAATTAATAGTCTAGAGGAGCACAAGAGGCGTGGGGCTCTTGTAGGAGGGAGAGGGAGGTGGTCAGCTGGGTGTGGTCGGGCGAGACCACACAAGGACGGATACCACAATCCTCGTATATAAACGTCCGCAGAGCTTCCTACGGCAGACCACAGCTACGACACCAGTCCGACGACATGACTCCTCTGGTGAGTGCGTTGCCCCCCTTGGCTTACAGCACCTCTCTTACAGTGATACACGCAGCGCCGCCTTCGGGTCTGTCATCACGACGGAGGAGTCGAACTTTCTTAGCCAGCTTGTGTTTTTTGGTTATACTAGCGTGGTCATCTATTGCAAGATGCGGCCACCTTGATCTTAGTGCTCAAGTTGTTGTGTTCTGCTCACAGTTCAACGCCACCTTGATCTTAGTGCTCAAGTTGTCGTGTTCGGCTCACAGTTCAACGCCACCTTGATCTTAGTGCTCAAGTTGTTGTGTTTGGCTCACAGTTCAACACCACCTTGATCTTAGTGCTCAAGTTGTTGTGTTCGGCTCACAGTTCAACGCCATCTTGATCTTAGTGCTCAAGTTGTCGTGTTCGGCTCACAGTTCAACACCACCTTGATCTTAGTGCTCAAGTTGTCGTGTTCGGCTCACAGTTCAACACCATCTTGATCTTAGTGCTCAAGTTGTCGTGTTCGGCTCACAGTTCAACACCACCTTGATCTTAGTGCTCAAGTTGTCGTGTTCTGCTCACAGTTCAACACCACCTTGATCTTAGTGCTCAAGTTGTCGTGTTCGGCTCACAGTTCAACACCACCTTGATCTTAGTGCTCAAGTTGTCGTGTTCGGCTCACAGTTCAACACCACCTTGATATTAGTGCTCAAGTTGTCGTGTTCTGCTCACAGTTCAACACCATCTTGATCTTAGTGCTCAAGTTGTCGTGTTCGGCTCACAGTTCAACACCACCTTGATCTTAGTGCTCAAGTTGTCGTGTTCTGCTCACAGTTCAACACCACCTTGATCTTAGTGCTCAAGTTGTCGTGTTCGGCTCACAGTTCAACGCCACCTTGATCTTAGTGCTCAAGTTGTCGTGTTCGGCTCACAGTTCAACACCACCTTGATCTAAGTGCTCAAGTTGTCGTGTTCGGCTCACAGTTCAACACCACCTTGATCTTAGTGCTCAAGTTGTCGTGTTCGGCTCACAGTTCAACACCACCTTGATCTTAGTGCTCAAGTTGTCGTGTTCGGCTCACAGTTCAACACCACCTTGATCTTAGTGCTCAAGTTGTCGTGTTCGGCTCACAGTTCAACACCACCTTGATCTTAGTGCTCAAGTTGTCGTGTTCGGCTCACAGTTCAACACCACCTTGATCTTAGTGCTCAAGTTGTTGTGTTCGGCTCACAGTTCAACACCACCTTGATCTTAGTGCTCAAGTTGTCGTGTTCGGCTCACAGTTCAACACCACCTTGATCTTAGTGCTCAAGTTGTCGTGTTCGGCTCACAGTTCAACACCACCTTGATCTTAGTGCTCAAGTTGTCGTGTTCGGCTCACAGTTCAACACCACCTTGATCTTAGTGCTCAAGTTGTCGTGTTCGGCTCACAGTTCAACACCACCTTGATCTTAGTGCTCAAGTTGTCGTGTTCGGCTCACAGTTCAACACCACCTTGATCTTAGTGCTCAAGTTGTTGTGTTCGGCTCACAGTTCAACACCACCTTGATCTTAGTGCTCAAGTTGTTGTGTTCGGCTCACAGTTCAACACCACCTTGATCTTAGTGCTCAAGTTGTCGTGTTCGGCTCACAGTTCAACACCACCTTGATCTTAGTGCTCAAGTTGTCGTGTTCGGCTCACAGTTCAACGCCACCTTGATCTTAGTGCTCAAGTTGTTGTGTTCGGCTCACAGTTCAACACCACCTTGATCTTAGTGCTCAAGTTGTCGTGTTCGGCTCACAGTTCAACACCACCTTGATCTTAGTGCTCAAGTTGTCGTGTTCGGCTCACAGTTCAACGCCACCTTGATCTTAGTGCTCAAGTTGTCGTGTTCGGCTCACAGTTCAACACCATCTTGATCTTAGTGCTCAAGTTGTCGTGTTCGGCTCACAGTTCAACACCACCTTGATCTTAGTGCTCAAGTTGTCGTGTTCGGCTCACAGTTCAACGCCACCTTGATCTTAGTGCTCAAGTTGTCGTGTTCTGCTCACAGTTCAACACCACCTTGATCTTAGTGCTCAAGTTGTCGTGTTCGGCTCACAGTTCAACGCCACCTTGATCTTAGTGCTCAAGTTGTCGTGTTCGGCTCACAGTTCAACACCACCTTGATCTTAGTGCTCAAGTTGTCGTGTTCGGCTCACAGTTCAACACCACCTTGATCTTAGTGCTCAAGTTGTCGTGTTCGGCTCACAGTTCAACACCATCTTGATCTTAGTGCTCAAGTTGTCGTGTTCGGCTCACAGTTCAACACCACCTTGATCTTAGTGCTCAAGTTGTCGTGTTCGGCTCACAGTTCAACACCACCTTGATCTTAGTGCTCAAGTTGTCGTGTTCGGCTCACAGTTCAACACCACCTTGATCTTAGTGCTCAAGTTGTTGTGTTCGGCTCACAGTTCAACACCACCTTGATCTTAGTGCTCAAGTTGTCGTGTTCGGCTCACAGTTCAACACCACCTTGATCTTAGTGCTCAAGTTGTTGTGTTCGGCTCACAGTTCAACACCACCTTGATCTTAGTGCTCAAGTTGTCGTGTTCGGCTCACAGTTCAACACCACCTTGATCTTAGTGCTCAAGTTGTCGTGTTCGGCTCACAGTTCAACACCACCTTGATCTTAGTGCTCAAGTTGTCGTGTTCGGCTCACAGTTCAACACCACCTTGATCTTAGTGCTCAAGTTGTCGTGTTCGGCTCACAGTTCAACGCCACCTTGATCTTAGTGCTCAAGTTGTCGTGTTCGGCTCACAGTTCAACACCACCTTGATCTTAGTGCTCAAGTTGTCGTGTTCGGCTCACAGTTCAACGCCACCTTGATCTTAGTGCTCAAGTTGTCGTGTTCGGCTCACAGTTCAACACCACCTTGATCTTAGTGCTCAAGTTGTCGTGTTCGGCTCACAGTTCAACACCACCTTGATCTTAGTGCTCAAGTTGTTGTGTTCGGCTCACAGTTCAACACCACCTTGATCTTAGTGCTCAAGTTGTCGTGTTCGGCTCACAGTTCAACACCACCTTGATCTTAGTGCTCAAGTTGTCGTGTTCGGCTCACAGTTCAACACCACCTTGATCTTAGTGCTCAAGTTGTTGTGTTCGGCTCACAGTTCAACACCACCTTGATCTTAGTGCTCAAGTTGTCGTGTTCGGCTCACAGTTCAACACCACCTTGATCTTAGTGCTCAAGTTGTCGTGTTCGGCTCACAGTTCAACACCACCTTGATCTTAGTGCTCAAGTTGTCGTGTTCGGCTCACAGTTCAACACCACCTTGATCTTAGTGCTCAAGTTGTCGTGTTCGGCTCACAGTTCAACACCACCTTGATCTTAGTGCTCAAGTTGTCGTGTTCGGCTCACAGTTCAACACCACCTTGATCTTAGTGCTCAAGTTGTCGTGTTCGGCTCACAGTTCAACACCACCTTGATCTTAGTGCTCAAGTTGTCGTGTTCGGCTCACAGTTCAACACCACCTTGATCTTAGTGCTCAAGTTGTCGTGTTCGGCTCACAGTTCAACACCACCTTGAATGCCTAGCTTTTGTTTATATTTGATTGACGATTGAGTCCTATTAATCAATTTACCTAAGATAAGCTCCTGCGTGAATTGAATGTCTTTAATATATCCTCTCTAACGTCTCTCTGTTCTCGTAACGCCATCTTGAGTACTATATGAAATGAAGTGTTTTACAGTCATGTTGAATTAGCGCCTTCGACTGATAATCACTTTATCAGACGGTAGCCTTAGAGCCAGTCTACAGTTAGTCACTGTGAACCCTTGTATGTTACTTCACAGCTTTTCTTGTCTCCTTAAAATATTCCGTTATTACTTAACTGACTTTGAGAGTTGGGCCATGTGCATGAGCTTTATCTTCGAAAGAGAATGTATGATTGTCAGTCAAATTGATGTTCGGGTTCGTGGCTAGACGCTAACTATCTTGAGGTTATCTTGAGATGATTTCGGGGCTTTTTAGTGTCCCCGCGGCTCGGTCCTCGACCAGGCCTCCACCCCCAGGAAGCAGCCCGTGACAGGTGACTAACACCCAGGTACCTATTTTACTGCTAGGTAACAGGGGGCATAGGGTGAAAGAAACTCTGCCCATTGTTTCTCGCCGGCGCCTGGGATCGAACCCAGGACTATAGGATCACAAATCCAGTGTGCTGTCCGCTCGGCCGACCAGCTCCTACGCTTGGGAATAATCTCACCAAACTTTGCAGGGTGACTGGTCTAAGTTCGGGGATCGTCATAGGCGGTCGGGGTTTGCGCCCCTTGCCCCGTCCTTTGCATGAAATGACACTACGTCGTATTCATTTCCAATTTCGCTAAATAAAAATTTAAGAAATGAGACAAAGGAGAGGGAAAGCAGTGAAGGATAGGGAAGTTGGTGAAGAGGGAAGGTGTAAAGTTAAGATGGTTGTTAAGTTACAGTGATGAAGATAGTATGTAGTGAAGAGGTGGTGTCCATCACCCAAGCAACGCGGATAACCCACTTCTAATATATACTAATATATATATATATATATATATATATATATATATATATATATATATATATATATATATATATTTATATATATATATATATATATATATATATATATATATATATATATGATCAGTTTATATCATTAGCATTATATATGCTAATTAGAGACTACTTACAGGAAACTGAATTTCCGTGTGTTAACAATGTGTGTGTAATGTTTCTTTTCAGTTTTTGCTTCCGCTGCTGGTGGCGGGGTGCGTGGCGGCTCCTACTGACGACACCGTGGCTATCCCAGCCGTGCCCCTGGTTGCGCCCGTGGCAGCCGTCCCTGGCTACGCTGTCCAGGGGTCTATCCACCAGGTGACACAGACCATCGATGCCCCCACCCTGAAGAGCCTTCCCGTGGCCCCCGTGCCTGTGGCCCCTGTGGCACCTCTGGTTTACTCCAACCTCAACCTGGACCTCAAGGCGCCTGTGCCTCCTGGCGACGCTCCCGCCCCAGATGTTCTAGTTCAGAGGACGGCCGTCAAGGCGCTAGGCCGCAGCGCCGTGGCCTACACCCCCCAGATCAAGGAGGTTCATCCTGAGCTTAAGATCACTCAAAAGAAATTCGACGTCGCCGTGCCCAAACCTGTCTACGAGACCAAGGAAGTCACTCCCATCCAATACAAATACGTGCCCGAGCCCTATGCCGTGCCCCAACCATATGCCGTGCCTCAGCCATACGCCGTGCCCCAGCCATATGCCGTGCCCCAGCCATTTGCCGTGCCCCAGCCATATAACGTGGTATTTGCCTAACCTGTTACTACCGTGAACGCTATTGACCCCCCCCCCCTCCCTCCCCGCCCCTCTTGCAGTGACTTACGAAGCCATCGTCACTGTCTCTAGCTCCGGGTCTCCTTCGGGAGGCGGCGTCAGCTCCCACTAGTGTCGTCGGGAGAGTGACGCCGAAGTCCCGATGTGTAAACATTCATCACTATACTACTCGCATGCTGTAACCTTTGAGGAATAAATCTAAATTGATCACTATAATCTTCAGTTTCATTCATATCCACATTAGAAAAAGCTAGAAGACCTCCCATTAACCCATCATTCATCTGAATTACTTACCGAACTGTGAAGAACTGAATAACATGTCTGGCTTGATGCAGAAGTTACCTCTAAAGGAATTCTGCAATTCTGCATTCACACGCACACACACACACACACACACACACACACACACACACACACACACACACACACACACACACACACACACACACACACGCGCACACTAAAGAGTTGACGAAAGAGCCAGAGCTTAACCGCAGTGTAACAATAGAACTGTTTATAGAAGACCATAGATCTAACATTAAAGTTGTCGTTCACTACAAGGGGTTATACGCCCTTTGTAAAAATAAGGAGTAAGGTGGTAGTTGACCCGAGAAATTGAAATTGAAATAAGTTTATTGAGGTAAAATACACATAAAGGGATGAGGTAGCTCAAGCTATTCTGACCCCATTCAGTACATCGTGTTAATACATATACACACATCACAAACATATTACCAAACATTCTGAGAGATAAACATATACATTTCCTCCTTTACACAAGTATTGACCTGAGAGGCCAGGAAGGGTCATCCCCCCCCCCAAGTGATCAGAGCTCATGTGTACAAAACAGTAGCGCCACATGGGCCCTGTGTCGAGCCATCGAACTAGGAGAATAATTCATGTATTAAAGAAATAGTAGGAATAATCAATCGTGTTTAAGTACCTATGTTAATAAAATTAACGTCAATTGAGAGTAAAGAATAAGCCTCGTATATTGTCAAAGAAGCATTTGACTTCAGTAAGAATATAGGTCTCGTTACTTGGGAAATATGTACCTACAGCTGTGTTTGGTAATTCATGTAAAGTAGTGAAATAAGTGCTATTAAATATTGTAATTAGCCTGGCTCAAGTATCTTGAGGTTATCTTGAGATGATTTCGGGGCTTTAGTGTCCCCGTGGCCCGGTCCTCGACCAGGCCTCCACCCCCAGGAAGCAGCCCGTGACAGCTGACTAACACCCAGGTACCTATTTACTGCTAGGTAACAGGGGCATTCAGGGTGAAAGAAACTTTGCCCATTTGTTTCTGCCTCGTGCGGGAATCGAACCCGCGCCACAGAATTACGAGTCCTGCGCGCTATCCACCAGGCTACGAGGCCCCAGTATCTAGATAATTTCCCAATAGTTTTGGAATAATAAATCACCTTCAGGGACGAGTACAGGGTTTTAGTTAGTAATCATCTTCGAAGATTAATTTGGCACCTAAGCTAAGGTCAGTCTCACAGAGGTCACAGAGAACTGAATCAGTGTGGACTGGGCATCAACTGGAGGCGGTACTGCGCCCCTGGAGCCGAGGCAGAACATCTAGGCCTGTGTGTGTGGTATTTACACCACAAATTTACACCACAGAGCAATGAACCAGAACTTAAACGAGCTGTTTGTTTTAAGTGCAGTTGTAGAATCTACATTATTTGTTGTAGTCAAGACCATTGCCTCAGGAATCATATTCAGTTTTGGAAGTGTTCAGATAGGGTGTGTTTCTTTTTATTTTCATTGATAATCTTTGTTTAATAAATCTTGTTTTAGAATTGATGGTGTTTAGTGAAATTAACGCTTATTTTTGCATTCTGTTGTATGCTTTGGACTAGGCCCTCTCTGCAAGCCTGCAAACATATATTTAATACCTCAGATATTCCCTTTGTACTTCGAGTTAATCCATACTTAACGTAAATCGTATCCCTCCTTTTCGGATAACTGGGGATCCATTTTCGGAGATTATGCCTAAGTGACGGTATCGTACTTCACCGGCAATTGGGGGAGGGGGGGGGGTCACAGCACCGCTCCTGTGCCAGGTAAGTCCACTACGGGCTCACCATAGCCCGTGCTACTTGCCCCGCTCCTGTGCCAGGTAAGTTACGGGCTCACCATATCCTTTGCTACTTGGAACTTATTCTGAGTAGCTGAATCTATAACAACAACAACAATTGGGTGAATTACCCAGGGGGTGGAAGTAGCAGGTGGTGGCGGCGTCTCAGAGGTTGCAGTGTGACATCGTAAGGTACAGTATCATCCGGCCGTGATATCTAAACGATCAAACGTTTTAAATCTCGAGGAATTGAACTGAAGGTTACACAACAGAACTCTGGTCTGTAGATTTACTTAACAACGATCAGCATTTAACCAAGTCAAGTGAGGTTAAAGGCTGGCCCTCGTTACACCCGCAAGCACAACTGAGTACACACACACAACTAGGTGAGTACAACTAGGTGAGTACACACACACACACACGAGTAGGAGACAGATGAGTAATAGAGTAGTAGTTAGAGTAGACTTCAGTTAGAGTAGTAGACAAATGGAATGCATTAGGAAGTGATGTGGTGGAGGCTGACTCCATACACCGTTTCAAATGTAGATATGATAAGAGCCCAGTAGGCTCAGGAACCTATACACCAGTTGACTGATAGAGAGGCGGGACTAAAGAACCAGAGCTCAACCCCCGCAAGCACAACTAGGTAAGTACACGTCTATCAGGACTCATCCCACTACACATTACAGAAGATTTCCTTCAGTAAAAAACAATGGCAAGGAATCTGCCTTACGACATCCGGGTGGAGGGGGAGGGGTGGGTGATGGGGGAGGTGATGGGAGGGGGTGATGGGGGGCGGACGCGGTGACGTGTGAGTCCTCATGGTCAATGTCGACCACTTGCCCAGTCCATCCCTACCCGGCCACGCCCAAGTTTCAATACCTCGAGTCGTCTTCACTCTCACCACCACCTGGCTAGATAGAACCTATCCAGGTGAGCCCATCCACCACCTGGATAGCTATCCAGCCATCACGTGGATAGTATCAAGAAATTGCAAAATGTTTCCAATATTTTAAGCTAAATTACATTATTCTTTCAAACAAGTGTGACAGAGGGGAATGGGGCCCATCCCCCTATCCCTGTGGAGCTTCAGCAGGGGTAACCGGGCCTCCGGGCATAGGAGCCGTCCCAGGATGTCCCTGGACGGGTGTGGACGAGACTTAAACACCAGGGCCACCAACCCGGGCGTCCTCGAGCCACGCCCTTACCTAGCCTACACTCCCTGCACCATCCCCTCCCTCATCCTGTCCTGCGTGCGGGATGCTTCAACCAACAGACCTTCAGATCAAGTCATCGCAAGATATGACTGGCCTGCACAGGCTGGGGGGAGTAGAACTCTCGAAACCCCCTTGAGGTATACTCGAGGTATACCAGAACGAACAGAGATATAAAGGACTCATGTTGTCTGTATTTGGCCTTGTGCGGGACATTAAGCTTTTTTCCTATTCCTCTCTTCTTTTTTTTACACACGCACACGCACACACGTGTGTGTGCCTCGGGGCCGTGTGTGTGTTAAGGGGCCTCGTAGCCTGGTAGATAGCGCGCAGGACTCGGAATTCTGTGGCGCGGGTTCGATTCCCGCACGAGGCAGAAACAAATGGGCAAAGTTTCTTTCACCCTAAGTGCCCCTGTTACCTAGCAGTAAATAGGTACCTGGGAGTTAGTCAGCTGTCACAGGCTGCTTCCTGGGGTGTGTGTGTGTGGTGTGGGGAAAAAAAAAAGTAGTTAGTAAACAGTTGATTGACAGTTGAGAGGCGGGCCGAAAGAGCAAAGCTCAACCCCCGCAAAAACACAACTAGTAAACACACACACACACACACACACACACACACACACACACACACACTACATGGAGAATGAGTCACTGACATTGACCAGTATAGCTGGAAAGGTGGGTCTCGGGAGCTAGTGATCGACATGCAGGCGCCACATAGGTATCATATACAACTGTTTAGTCACACACACACACACACAGTCTGGTAGGCCATTGGCATTCAGGGGAGTGAGGCGTGTCTCCTGCCCAGCTGCTGAACCCGTAGACAACGACTAGGCTCTAATCCCAGCTGCTGGACCCGTAGACAACGACTAGGCTCTAATCCCAGCTGCTGAACCCGTAGACAACGACTAGGCTCTAATCCCAGCTGCTGGACCCTGGTTGTTGTTATTGTTGTTTTAGATTTAGCTACTCAGAACGAAATATCCACGTAGCACGGGCTATGGTGAGCCCGTAATGAACCCTGGTCTGGGGTCTCGGAAGTTTCTGAGATCCTAAGCTAAGCTTCCGAGACCAGATCAAAAGAGCTGGTGCATATAGTGAGCTCCATATCCGCACTCCATTTCTTTCTTCATGATTTCAAGACCAAGGTATACACTAGAATCAATATTTCCTTCTCATCACCGTGCAATTTGTCAACAGGAGATGAATCAGTCTTTCGTGCACAAGACGTTGTTGCACGAATCAACATCAACACTCTGTTAATCAACAAACCACAATCGGTACCTTAATACACACACGAAAATGATAATTTTCGTGTGTGTTCGTTTCGTAAATTCAGAGAGGGTAACTGATTACTCTGACTCAAGAGCAGGATGACACTAACAACAGGAGAGCAAGGTGACCTGACTGTGTCTTCCTTGATTGACAGAGAGAGAGAGAGATCCACACTGCCCCGCACACCAACAGTGTGAGAGTGAGACACACACACTTGAGAACACACTTGCTGAAATCGAAAACGTTTTGGGATGAGTAAATGGAGTCATACCTCCGGCAGGTATCAAAGGGGAGAGAATAGGTCAGAGAGCGAGCATTGTGTGTTACAGGCTGTGAGTATACAAGCCCATTAGGATAATACCTGCAACAGGTGCAGGTATTATCGCAGGGTAAGTGATGCAGCTGCACCACGGCAGGTGTGGGCGGCCCGGCAGGTGTGGGCGGCCGGACAGGTGATCCCGCCCTCAGGTGAGTCATAAGCCTCCCCCCCCCCACCTCCCTAAGCCTCACACCCGCCGCTGTAAACACCTACACCCATGACGATGAGGGCAGGTGTGGGGTTAGGCAGGTGTGGGGTTAGGCAGGTGTGGGGTTTGGCAGGTGTGGGGTTAGGAAGGATTTGTTATAAAAAAAATAGAAAATGAGAAAGAGAACGAAGAGAAAGATGATAATTTAAACGATAAACAGCGAATCAAGGAAAAAACGAACAAACACATGCTGCGGAAAAACAAAAGAAAAACAGGAAAGACAATAACATATTTAATAAAACATACGAAATCCTTTCTACGGTTTTTTTTGGCGTGTGTCCAGGACGGACCGAAACATCGTCGTCCCTTCACTTTCTAGTGTGTGGTCTGGTCAACATATTTCAGCCCCGTCTTGTAATAGGTACTTGCTTTCTTCAAAAAATATTATCATAGCGACCTCAGAAACATATTTGAGTTTCTTTGAGCAATAACCCAGTTTTAGCAGATCTAATTGTTGACCGCTGTTCGTCGTTATCTGAATGGGTTGTCAGTAACGACAGGTCAAGGGTCATGGGCCGTCATTGTTTTCTTTCTCAATATGCAACATTGCTTCCTCGGCCTCTGTGTTGAGTCACTGTATGATTGATGGCGCTGTTCTCATAGTCCCTCCTCCTCCTTCTATCCTCAGTGTGGGGAGCGGCATCTCACAGAGACGAGGATATGTGGGGAGAGAGAGAGAGAGAGAGAGAGAGAGAGAGAGAGAGAGAGAGAGGAGAGAGAGAGAGAGAGAGAGAGAGAGAGAGAGAGAGAGAGAGAGAGAGAGGAGAGAGAGAGAGAGAGAGAGATGAGAGAGAGAAAGAGAGAGAAAGAGAGAGAAAGAGAGAGAGAGAGAGAGAGAGAGAGAGAGAGAGAGAGAGAGAGAGAGGAGAGAGAGAGAGAGAGAGAGAGAGAGAGAGAGAGAGAGAGAGAGATTCTTTTGGACGGTGGACACCTGTCTGACAATCACAATGGAGCTGACAACTAATACTTTTCTCTCTCTCTCTCTCTCTCTCTCTCTCTCTCTCTCTCTCTCTCTCTCTCTCTCTCTCTCTCTCTCTCTCTCTCTCTCTCTCACTCTCTCTCTCCCCCTCCCCCCCTTCTCCTAGCCTCAGAGAACAAGGTCCGCCCTGCCGTACTGAGCTCCAAATCGGGTCAAGTAGAATTTATCTGACGCACAATTCACGTTCGTTGGTTATTTGTTGAGACACTTTCGGGAGAGTCTTCTTCCTGGCGATGTTTGGTTAGTGGCGAGGAGCAACGTCGCCGGTTCCTGGAGCCCCGAGGAAGGTGGGCTGAATGGTGCTCCGCTTCTTGTGTGTTGGGGGCGGTGGTGTGGGGGGGGGGGAGTGGCGCTGTGTGTGTTCGTTGGGGTAAAGGAGGGGGGAGCGTTGTATGTATAAGGGGGCCCCCACTATAGTCTATAATGGAGGGGGCGTTGTGTATGTGTCGGAGGGGCGATGTGTGTATTTGCTGGGGCGGGGGGGGTTTTGTGTGTGTGTGTGTGTGTGTGTGTGTGTGTGTGTGTGTGTGTGTGTGTGTGTGTGTGTGTGTGTGTGTGTGTGTGTGTGTGTGTGTGTGTGTGTGTGTGTGTGTGTGTGTGTGTGTGTGTGTGTGTGTGTGTGTGTGTGTGTGAGGTGTGTGAGTGTGTGTGTTGTGTGTGTGTGTTGTGTGTGTGTGTGTGTGTGTGTGTGTGTGTGTGTGTGGTGTGTGTGTGTGTGTGTGTGTGTGTGTGTGTGTGTGTCCGAGTTTCTTTTGGACGTGTTTTTGTGTGGGGCGGCGTGTAGTGCTTGTGTGTGGGGAGCATTTTTGTGGTTTGCGTGTGCGTGTGTAGGCGGGCTTGAGTTTGCTTGCGCGCGTGTGTGTAGGAAGGGACAAGACCCCACCATTTACTTGACTCCTGGGGGCCCTCAGTGACTCCTGGGGGCCCTCAGTGACTCCTGGGGGCCCCCTCAGTGACTCCTGGTGGCCCTCAGCGACTCCTGGGGCCCCTCGGTGACTCCTGGGGGCCCCCTCAGTGACTCCTGAAGCCCCTCAGTGACTCCTGGGGGCCCTCAGTGACTCCTGGTGGCCCTCAGCGACTCCTGGGGCCCCTCGGTGACTCCTGGGGGCCCCCTCAGTGACTCCTGGTGGCCCTCAGCGACTCCTGGGGCCCCTCGGTGACTCCTGGGGGCCCCCTCAGTGACTCCTGAAGCCCCTCAGTGACTCGTGGGGGCCCCTCAGTAACTCCTGGAGGCCCTCAATGACTCCTGGGGGCCCTCAGTGACTCCTGGGGCCCCTCAGTGACTCCTGGGGGCCCCTCAGTGACTCCTGGGCCCCTCAGTGACTCCTGGGGGCCCTCAGTGACTCCTGGGGCCCCTCAGTGGACTCCTGGGGGGCCTCAGCGACTCCTGGGGCCCCTCAGTGACTCTGGGGTCCTCAGTGACTCCTGGGGGGGGGGACAAGGTGACCCTCAGTGACTCCTGGGGTCCCTCAGTGACTCCTGGGGGCCCCTCAGTGACTCCTGGGGGCCCTCAGTGACTCCTGGGGCCCCTCAGTGACTCCTGGGGGGCCCTCAATGACTCCTGGGGTCCCTCAGTGACTCCTGGGGTCCCTCAGTGACTCCTGGGGTCCCTCAGTGACTCCTGGGGTCCCTCAGTGACTCCTGGGGTCCCTCAGTGACTCCTGGGGGCCCCTCAGTGTACCACAGGTTAGGGGACAGGTCCAGGGAACACTGACCAGACACACTCGCCCAACCAGACCCATCAAAGAGGAACTAAACTAAACATACTGAAAAAGGCAAAGGTTATGATGGCGAGGGCGTGCCAGGGGGCGTGTGGGCGCGGTCCCTGGGGTATATAAGAGGCGTGCGCCCCTCATCACCTCACACACTCACGCCCGCCACCATGAGGTCCATAGTACGTGCTCACTCACTCACTCACTCACCTCATCAATTCTCTAAATCACCTGTGATACGCTGTGAACTTTTTTAAAGTTAATCAACAGATAAATTCTCCTGTGATAAAAGTGAACATTTTTACTGTTGATTTTGGATATTTATTTTTTTGTTATGAATTGTAGATCCTGTTGCCCTTGGCGCTGGCGACTGTGATGGGGGCGGCGACGCCTCTGCACGCCCCCGTACCCGTGCTCTACTCCAATCTCAACCTGGACGTGCCGGCGCCCGTGCCCGCTGGGGCCGCTCCTCAGGTGGTGGTGCAGCGGTCGTCCGTCAAAGCTCTAGGGCGCCCCGTCCTCTCCCTCACTCCCCAGATCACCCACGTGCGTCCTCAACTCAAGATCACCCAGAAGACGTACGACGTCGGCGTGCCCAAGCCCGTCTACACCACCAAGGAAGTCACTCCCATCCATCACAAGTACGTGGCTGAGCCCTATGCCGTGCCCCAGCCCTACGCCGTGCCCCAGCCCTACGCCGTGCCCCAGCCTTACGCCGTACCTGTCCACGTAGCAGCCGTGCCAGCCTTTGCCCCGGCTGCCGTGGGGGCGTACAGTCACGCCCCCATTGCTGTAGCCTACGGTGCCGCTCCTGCTGCCGTGGCCTACACTCCCGCCAAACCTTAACTGCTGGAGAGCAAGTACACTAAAAATATGAGGCGTAGTTGATGTGGTTGAGTGAGGTGACGAGACGCTGTCCAGGGGAGTCTTGTCACAGTCGCCATCTATCCTCAACCCACTGTGGGGAGTGTATTTGGTCCTCAACCCACTGTGGGGAGTGTATTTGGTCCTCAACCCACTGTGGGGAGTGTATTTGGTCCTCAACCCACTGTGGGGAGTGTATTTGGTCCTCAACCCACTGTGGGGAGTGTATTTGGTCCTCAACCCACTGTGGGGGGAGTGTATTTGGTCCTCAACCCACTGTGGGGAGTGTATTTGGTCCTCAACCCACTGTGGGGAGTGTATTTGGTGTATTTTTGGTCCTCAACTCACTGTGGGGAGTGTATTTGGTCCTCAACCCACTGTGGGGGGAGTGTATTTGGTCCTCAACCCACTGTGGGGAGTGTATTTGGTCCTCAACCCACTGTGGGGAGTGTATTTGGTCCTCAACCCACTGTGGGGAGTGTATTTTGTATCTCATTTCTGACAAAAATAAAATACAACGGGCTTATTATTATTAACATCTTTATTGACAAAATTAATTACAATTTTGCCTAATCTGAGGATTTCAATTAAGTCCTAATAAAGTGAGGATAATGCTGGTATTCACTGCTAATATTTCCTTAAGACTCGCAGATAATCATTCAATGTCTCCTTATATTCGACCATCGCCAGAAGGAGAGTTAATGTCGTACAATATTACGAACAATAACAGACACTCAAGACTTACTAAGATATGTCATCACATTTAATTAGTAACGTTAATTTTTTTTACAGGAATCACTACAGAAGACATCAATCACAGTGCCGTAACGCTACGGATACTGACGTCTTTTGGGGAGAGTATAGGAGATGGGTTATAAATTGGATAGGTTTAGATTTAGGAAAGACCTGGGTAAATACTGGTTCGGTAACAAGGGGTTGTTGTTTTGTGGAACCAATTTCTGCGTAAGAAGTAGGATCCCTTGATTGTTTCAAGCGTATGTTAGACATATACATGAATGAGATTGGGTGGATACAAATAGAAGCTGCCTTGTATGGGCCAATAGACCTTCTGCAGGTACCTTCATTTTTATGTTCATGCGAGATGGGGCACTTTGAAATGCTCTACTGCAATTATAACGGCCATATGACATATATAAATACAGAGATGCAACTTGCATTTAGGTTAATTCAACTTTGCGAATGACAAACGTATTTAGGAAAAGGCTAACTGTGTAGACACTTTGAAGGTCACACACATTCCCCAGCAGGAATATAAACTTCAAGATGCTATAGTCATCTATAGGACAAGTAAGGACAAGACCAGAACATAACGATGCCAACACAGAAGACACTTCAACATAAGAGGCCAATTACACCTGATTAATCTTTGTATGTAGATAGGGGCTGCCTCGTATGGGCCAATAGGCCCACAAAAGCAGTACATTTGTATCCCTTCCCCTTTAATTTACTTGCGTTACGGAACGCACCCCTTGAAAGCCATACTAGCTTGGGGCGGATTCCCAAACTCTAATAACATCAGAGAAGAACCCAGTTGCGACCCAATAGGGCCGTAATATATATATATATATATATATATATATATATATATATTTTTTTACCTGGGTACATACTGGCGCATCAAAATAAGTCAATTATACAAAACCAACCAAGCGAGTTCGCTCCTCACCTACAGTCAAATCCTTATTTTCACGCCGAAACGTTGTTATCATAACAGTATATAGAGATGGGTCGAAATCCAACAACAGAATAGTATAGTAGTAGGCATCCATTAGTCTCAGGAGAATATGGAGTTGCACTGTGGTTATCGGTCTGGAGTGGCCTCTCCAGGGCGCAAAGCCAGGGTAGGTTGATACCGGGAAGAAGCTGTTACCCATGCAGCAGGTTCCACGGCCCGAAAATCTACAATGACAAACGCCAATATGATTGGCGTTTGGAGAAGTTTCTCCCAGGAGGTGAAGTACAATCACAGGGCCCAGGAGGTGACGTACAATCACAGGGTCCAGGAGGTGAAGTACAATCACAGGGCCCAGTAGGTGAAGTACAATCACAGGGTCCAGGAGGTGAAGTACAATCACAGGGCCCAGGAGGTGAAGTACAATCACAGGGCCCAGCAGGTGAAGTACAATCACAGGGCCCAGTAGGTGAAGTACAATCACAGGGTCCAGGAGGTGAAGTGCAATCACAGGGCCCAGGAGGTGACGTACAATCACAGGGTCCAGGAAGTGAAGTACAATCACAGGGCCCAGCAGGTGAAGTATAATCACAGGGCCCAGGAGGTGAAGTACAATCACAGGGCCCAGGAGGTGACGTACAATCACAGGGTCCAGGAGGTGAAGTACAATCACAGGGCCCAGGAGGTGAAGTACAATCACAGGGTCCAGGAGGTGAAGTACAATCACAGGATCCAGGAGGTGAAATACAATCACTGGGCCCAAGAGGTGAAGTACAATCACAGGGCCCAGCAGGTGAAGTACAATCACAGGATCCAGGAGGTGAAATACAATCACTGGGCCCAAGAGGTGAAGTACAATCACAGGGCCCAGCAGGTGAAGTACAATCTCAGGGCCCAGGAGCTGGTGCACAACCGCTGGACCTATCCCTGTCCCAAAATGTCCCAAAGTGGTTATTTCTCCCTATCTATCCCTCACCATAACTGGACTTGTTCTTGACTCAATAAGGAATCCCGGGTGCGATTTCCGGGCGCGACAGAACAGTTGGGCACGTTTCTTTTCACCTAATGAACCTGTTCACCTAGAAATAAATAGGTACCCGGGAATAAGGGTCAGTAGTTCGACTTTGCGGGATGGGGGGGGGGATGTCCATATAAGCCTAAAGTGTGCATATGTACTTATAGTATATATGTGCATAATAATAATAATAATATATTATTATTATTATTATTTACTAAATGAATTAATCATTACTTATATCGCAAAATAAAGTCCACGTGGACAAGTATCCCCTCTTGTTACGTTTTCTCTTAATAGACGTTAGATATTTGATATAGAAAAACGTGTATGGGTACACTACATCAAAAGGAAAGTCACCAGCATTCCATGAGTTTTTATATGCATATTTTTGAATACGCATATACATATTTTTGGAAGATTTGAAATGGTGTAAATGTAAACTGTAATTATGTATTACTATCCGAAAGTCTACGCTTAATAAATAAAGGCATTTTATTTAAAGAAATAAGAAAGAAATAGTTAAGAAATATATTTTAATGGAAAATAAAAGATGGGAAGAGACAACTGGTACACATTAAGTTATACCTTGAGTTTACCTGGAGAGAATTCTGAGAGTTCTCCTACTCCCCGAGCCCGGCCTGAGGCCAGCCTCGACTTGTGAAGGTCAACCTAAAGGTATTAACTTGATAAAGTTAATAGTGAAGGTATTAACTTGATAAAGTTAATAGTTAACTTCACTTCAACAAAACATCAATGCCATGTACTCTCAAGACTTCGTTCTGCAATTTTCCAAGCCCTCCAAGCTTTCTTTCAGGCATTACCAAGGATAATCCTTGGGTGGCCTCGTACCACAAAGATACTTAATATGAGAACGGAACTTAATATTCCGAGCGTTGTTGATCGTGTTACTGAAATTAACTGTCAAATTGGTATAAAAATGCTTAGGCTAACTCATCCTAACCTTTGCACAGAAGCCCTCCTGAATTTCTTTATTGAAGATTAGCATTGTTCCAAATGGATAACTAAAACTGGAACTCAACTCAGAATGTATCAGGTTCATAATTTGTACCAAGAGAGATGTGTAAATATTTCATTCAAAATGATCTGCTACCAGAAATTTTAGCCAAATATCCCCAGTTTGCTAACTGTAGGTAGTAACTGAGTGATTGTAACCTATCCACCGCTGCCCACTGGATGGGGGGCGGTGTGCAGGACAAACATATCAATTGTGACACTAGCTCTCCACATATGTCAGTTACTTAATTTAGAAACTGTACATGAGGTCGATCTCGAACCCATTGTTGATGTGACGACTTATACTGAATTTGTAACTAGCTCATCAAGATTGTAACTTGCTTAGCTAAATGAATTGTGGGGTTCAGTCCCTGAGCCCATTATGTGTCTCTGTAACCCATTCCACTACCGCCCACAAGATGGGTATGGGGTGCATAATAAATGAACTAAACTATGTACTCTCATAAACCCAATGTACCTTCTTGTACATATATATAAATCAATAAAAACTTATGGACGAGTGGAACAAACTGGTCAGCAAATACTTTGACAACACCTCCAGCTCACTAAGTACTCTGTTGAATATAACTGCATATAAAATTTTAGAAGATTTAATATTGGGATATATAGGTACGCGGGTGAAATCAGTTGGGTGTAAATAGGACCTACAAAATATGGACAAGTATAGGCCTACTGTAATAGATGCACCATATAAGTGAGTCCACTTAACATCTCCCTTACTAAAAAGCACCAATGGCGTCACGCACATTATTATATATATATATATATATATATATATATATATATATATATATATATATATATATATATATATATATATATATATATATCATATATATATATATATGTCGTACCTAGTAGCCAGAACGCACTTTTCAGCCTACTATGCGAGGCCCGATTTGCCTACTATAAGCCAAGTTTTCCTGAATTAATATATTTTCTCTAATTTTTTTCTTATGAAATGATAAAACTAACCATTTCATTATGTATGAGGTCAATTTTTTTTATTGGAGGTAAAATTAACGTAGATATATGACTGAACCTAACCAACCCTACCTAACCTAACCTAACCTATCTCTATAGGTTAGGTTAGGTTAGGTAGCAGAAAAAGTTAGGTTAGGTTAGGTAGGTTAGGTAGTCGAAAAAAAACATTATTTCATGAAAACTTGGCTTATTAGGCAAATCGGGCCTTGCATAGTAGGCTGAGAAGTGCGTTCTGGCTACTAGGTACGACATATATATATATATATATATATATATATATATATATATATATATATATATATATATATATATATATATATATATATATACACAAGAAGTTACATTGGATTTACGAGAGTACACAGCATGATGTGTTCACATTCTCGTAAAACCACCAGTATGCGCAGCGTTCCGGGCAGATCCTTAATCCTAATTTTCAACGGAATACGACCCGCCAAATCATTTAACAAGCAGGTACCCATTCACTGCTGGGTGAACAGAGGCAACAGTTAACGGTTGGCGCCCAGACAATCCTCCCCGGCCAGGATACGAACCCAGGCCAAAGTGCTTGCGATGCGCCAGGCGAGTGTC